TCCTTTATACCGTAGGCCGTGTGACAGTTGCCTTCTTGCCCGCGTCCATCTCTAGCCGTATTCACCTGCTCCTGTCATTAGAGTCCGAGGAGCGTGAAGTAGACACGCCACAAGTCTGCTGCCTTGTAAAAAAAACCACCGTGCAGGTGACCAGTGCGTCTCGCGTTCGCAACTGTGGTTGATGTCGTCTACCAGCCCCCGTCCCCCCCCCTCGACGGTCAAAATATTTGCTCACGCGTTTGGAACGTACGAACACCAGCGCGAGAGCAGCTACGTCGTTTGCACAACCACAGTGGACGCACCCCAGTGAAATAAAATCAATGAACAGACATATATTTGATGTTGACGTTCGGACGTCTAATTACCTTGTAGACGGTTACCTTCGCATATACCGGGGTTGAGTGCACTTTTCACTTCGTCTACCTGTCTTTCCATGTTGCGTAGACTAGATAGGCAGATAGCAGGATACTATCGGCTGAGAAGAAGACGACTCGATCGCTGGGACAATACTTTTATTCGCCTAACGTTTCGATACCCATCGCGGATTCGTCATCAGAGACATTGTCAGAGAGCACTAGCATGGGAAAGCATGTTCATTTGTCTGAGTTTTCGCCAGCGTGCAAGAGGTCATCTTCAGAGACTATGAGCGTGCAGCAAAAATTGACGTGCTTTTGTAGTTGAGGTACGAGAAAATGGGGGAGAGGGGTAAGGTTAAGACGGCGTTGACTCAACGTTACCACGAACGCAACCCACTTCTTCCCCTTTTCTCGTAGCTCAACTATAAAAGCACGTTAATTTTTCAGTTTATCCAATTGTGAAAAATTCGGAGTCTCGGCGGGAGTCGAACCCACACAGCAGAGGAGGCTTTTGCGCAGTCAACGCTCTACCGTTGAGCTACGAGGCTCAACGTGAGCCGTGAATTTAACCAGAATTGCATCGATTTACTCGCCCAACCTACTGCTCGTATGGAATTCACCAGTACGTATACAGTGAGCTGACCGAAGACAATTTTTGCTGCACGCTCATAGTCTCTGAAAATGGCCTCTTGTAAGAAGCCAAAAGCTCATACCAATAAACCTGCTGTCCCAGTTATCAGACCTTCATCTTCTTTGCAATAGGAGTCGGGTTCTTCAAATTAACATTTAGCAAACTGCATCGCTCCAGGATTTATTAACTTTACAACTAGGACTAGCAAACACATCACTAACAAAATGACCTCCTATGTGAGCATTTAGAAAAAGGTGATACCTAAGTCGATGGTCAAATGGAAACGCGATTAGACCAGAACTTACCGTTCAGCACGGACGTTCTCCTCATACATGGCAGATTCTTCGTCGCCCTGAAGTCCCTGGTGGTCGCGAGCCTTTTGCTTTTTCAGAATAATGTCGATGTAGCCGGCGATAAGTTGAGAGATCTGTTCACCCTCGGATGTCTGTGCCGTGTAATATTCGTCCGGTGAGTACTCGCCAAAATCCTAAAGGCAGAAAATTAACCGTTAGATGAACTAGTATGTGCTTATTTCGTTAGGTTATTTTTTACCTTTTTGTTAATATTTTTGGTTTATTTAAAGGAGGCCCTCTTACTTTTACTTGGTACAACTGTAATCCTGCCTGATATAGCTGGCCTCGATGAAGTCACTGATTGCACATCTCCACAACTGACGATAGGTAGCAGCGGATAGGGCAGCTCAACACATGGCTTTCCCCAACAACGGCTACCGAATACTGAAGGTCCAAGAACCGCCTTCAAGACCTGATGAATTATGTCCAGCTAGGTTTTAAGTTGACCTCGTCTTCGACGCTTCCAAGTGGATGACGGCGTCAGACTGAGGACAGAATACCGAGTTCGTGAACCAAAATGTGAAGAGAATGTCCGAACCACACCAGTCGTCTTCATTAAATCATTTTTCACGCGTGGAGGCCGGTATTCACAACCACAGAGGAAGGCTGACCCGGTACACGCAGATTTTCGTGGTGAGGGTGATGTCCGGTAGAATTAATCAAATAGGTACCGCGGGATGTCTAGCCAAATGCTAGGTACAAACAAGCCTTCTCCACGTAGATTTTGGGAAGTGAGACTACCAACTCATCATGTGAACAACAACTCGAGCGTAACGAAAAAATATACGGTTCTGCAGCGTATAAGCCGCTGTGTGGAACTCCACTAAAGCTCACGAGAACGCCTTTAATAAATTTAATCATGGCACTTTTTGCGACCCCTCGGACGACCTCAGGCGTTTGGATGTGCGTGGGTATAGAGGATGAAAAGTGACAATTGAACCGTTAATGGGAGGAGCGGAGGGTGGAAGGAGGCAGTGACTGCAAAGAACATCTGGCGAATGCACTAAAGAGGACCCACCATTGTGAAGGCATTGGGAGAGGCAGCCCACTTAAGGATGGAAGTCAGTGGCCAGACTTTTACGACTTCTTTAGTTCGTTCGTCCAGCCGGACGACGCTGTCTCGGGTGATTCCAAGAAGCCGTGGAATCAATCTATTTTTGCCCTTCATCTTCTCCTGAAAAAAAATGGAAAAAAGCATGTTGAAGATGGCTTGCGAAATACCTTCAACACTACATCCCAAAATATCACACATAAGGTGTACTAATATACTGATGGTCCCTAAGATCTTTAAGTTACCAGGACCGCCGTTCTCACTGACTCCCACAGTGATCCTTCGATTTAAAAACCCAACCCTCCTTCCAACACGACTCTTTCAAGTGTTTGTGAAATAGAGTAGTTAATTCAATTTACCCAATAAGGATCACCATGACTCTTGAGACAATGACCACCTGTGTGTATGATTTGGATTACTGTGAGGAATACTTGCACTGTATCGCTCCCAAACTTCATTGTTCCGTTCTTAACATATTTTGGCAGGAAACCGCTCCCAGAAGACAACCAATGAAAATGGTTTAGGTGGGGTATAAGACTCCCTTCCCAATCTCGCGGGCGCACATGTACTGATTTATTCTTCAAACGTATCAAGCTTGATAGAATCGGACAGTTATACGCTTTTGAACTATTCTATTATAAGGGAGTCTGGCCCTGGCTCAGGGGATTAGAAATCCTCTAAATAGCAAATATTCCGATAACTGAGAAGAAGTAGATGCGATCGTTGGGACGAAAATTTTGTTTGCCTGACGTTTCGAAATCCTTCATCGGGGACAATAGCAGAAACAGGTAATTCATGCACCGAGAGTTGCAGTATTTTCAAGGAAAGGCCTCCTTTGGGAAAATGAGCAGATTTATTCAGTAAATTTTCGACATTGGATCCCCAGGTCGTCGTCAGACTTGAGAAAAAAATGTGCAGTATTGCAGTATTGATAGGATACAGCCACTACGCCACTGAACACTTATGACAATTAAAGACTACCCTATCTATGATAATTGCCCGCTTGTGCGTTAATTGCTCGAGTGCCGGCGTGCGGGTCGTGACCTGCTGAACGTTCATCACACGTAGTGGAATTGGGCGTGATGATTGCTCGGCCATCTGGCTCCCTGGCGCTGGCGTTGGCCTGTGCGCTCTCCAAGTGGCGACTTGCTTTGGCCAAATTGAGCCTCAGCACCGAATATGGACTGGACAGGCCTTTGCACCTGTTTACAGACTGGAGACTTGCATTGGCAAGTCCGACGACTTTTAAGACGCTGTGACAATTTAGAAGCAGTTAAGCGGGAACGTATGTGGGAAAGGATATAATCTTC